GGGGGGGGGGGGGGGGGGGTACGAGAGATTACAGGCAGGCAAGCAGGCGGCAGGCATCGGCATCGGGTTCTTTGACCTTAGCGGGGCCACTTAAATCAGCGGTATTGGATTTGTGTCCAACTCGGGAAAATAGCACTCCTGGAAAATGAATATCTATTTTGGTTGTTGAAGCGACGCTCAGTCAGTCAGTCGTACCCGATGGGGTAGAATCCGCCGTCAAGTGGATTTAAGGTTATTGAACTTGTTCATTGATCCCTCTCTATGCACCGGCACATATCCACCCCCCTTCTCCCGCCCTTCCTCCCGCGGCAACGTCGCAACACCACCACGAACAACCACCCGCCGTCGCCGTCGCCTCCACGCTCGAGTTCGCAACTCCGTCGACTGCCGCCCTACCTCCTTCGCACCTGCGACGCTCCTGAATTTCTCGATGCGCGCGTAAAAACGCATTAATCCGATCCCGGGGTGCTATCTGCCCGCGTATTAGCGCCGCGCTACCACCATCACCAGGTAGCAACCAGGTGCATTATGCAGCGATCAGGCGCGCACACGTCGCTTCTGTTTAATTTGGGACGCTCGCGCGCGCTTCTTGCCGGAGCGATGCGCGTTCGTCTGCATGATTAACGCCGTCCCGACGAAGAAATTAACGGTGCTTGCGCGTCAACCACGGCGAATCTTATTTCTGCCGGTTTCGATCGTCATTAATTTAACCTCGGGTTTAATTCGGGAATTTCCGGGTGCAACGACCGCGCATGGAAAACACAGCGCGCGCGCTCGCTCGCCGGGCGGTGTCGCGAGAAGCCGCGGACAATACGGTCGACGGTTTGATATCCAGCTTCGCAAGAATATCGCGGCCGATATTATTTAGCAGCGATCGTGGAATTTTCGCACGGCGGCCGTGAAATATTTATCGAGAAGTAAAAGTCGCAGCGTCCTACGTCGTCTCGGTTCCTACGATTTCCGTGCATCGGGATAGCCGAGCCAAGATGCATTAAGGTAGTTGTAGTGACAAACCTGGTGGAAATTTCTCGTTGAAAGTACTGTGTGATCTGAGAACTGAATTTCCATTGAAATATCGACGGAATAATAATGACATGGGGTTAACCGAGGGAAAATTTCAGCGAACTTTTATTATATTTTAACTGGTTTAATTTCTACTTGGGCGTACAGGTGACCGACATTACCCCACGGACCGGTATTACCCCATTCTCCCTTACTGTTAAAAATTCGGAAAGATTTCTAAGAAAATAACTTTACGTATCAAACGATACACGCTGTTTCGCGCGCTTTTCCGCGGAAAGCCGGACACGTCCTGTCGCATGACGTTTCCATACTTCGCTAATCGTACGTGCGTGTGCATGCGTATGCGCGAGTGGAATGTGCGAGGTATGCTTTTAGCTTTCGCGTGCGTACACTGAAAAAAAATTGCTACGTTCAAGTAAATATTTACCGAGGAGTATTGTAGTCATTTATTTCGTTTGGATTAAGTAAATATTGCTTCAATGTAGCATTCTTTTCTTTCCAGTGCGCTGCATCCAAGTAATATTGATTTAATCCAAATAAAATGAATTACTGCGACACTCCTTAGTAAATATTAACTTGAACGTAACAATTTTTGTTTTTCGGTGTACAACAACAAGCGCGCATTTCGAACGCGTATCCCGAACGGGACGTGTTATTTGAAAACGGCGCGTTGTTGCTCGAGTTCAAGTCGTGTCCGACTCGTTCGTTCTGAGGAAGTCCGAGCGAGCGGCCGACGTGCATTCGTCACCTTTGATCTCTCGAAAGGTATAAATCACGATAATCGCGCGCACAGCTGTCGATTTCGTCGCTTCTCGCATCTCGACGATCAGGAGCGTGTATTTCACTGTCCGATCAACGACCAATCGCGACAAGCGCGCGCGTTAGCCCTTCTCTGTCAGATTAAAGCCGTACATTATAGTAAATCGCACCAAGTCGGCTTTTCGTCATTCGACGGCTCGCTGATGTACGCGCGCGCATCGAAATCATACCCGCGGATGGAACGCCGGGGAAAAAAATGAGGGAGAGAGAGAGAAAGGGAAAAAAGACAACGCACGCCGACCTATCGGACGGATGCGGCCCCTCGCATCCGAAACGGGTGAAAATTGAATTCGCGGAGACAGTGACAGGTATTCGATACAGCCCCCGAGCGCGGCTAATGGCCAACGTTCGCCGGCGCGTCTTGCGACCTGACACGGATGAGGGTGTAGTCTCCTTACGTCGGGATACAATTTCCCCTCCCCCCGATATCGATCGATCTCTCGCTCGTCTCCTTCGCTGAAGATACACACTTGACACTTGACCGCGAGCTGATTGTTAAAAATTCAAAAGCACCGAGCGCCG